TGGTGTTTTTGTTTTATCAATTTCATAAATTGGTGTCCATCTATCTATTTATTTTAAAAAAAAGTCATACATAAAAATATATATGCATATTTCTATTAATTATCAGCATCGGTTTTTTTGTTTTTTATAGTTTATTTATATAAAATTCATAGTTATTTATTTGGATTTAAATATATATATATATAATATTTTTAAATTATATAATCATTTATTTCTTATGGATCAATAATCAAAAGATAAATTTCATTTAAAAAATTATGTTCTGCTATAAAAATTTATAATTCTAGTTCAATATACTTTAAAGGAACATTAGCCAATTTAAAGTAGGGCAGTTTTTTGCATGGAATGTAATAAAAACTATTTTATTTGTATTTTTTTATTGGAACATACATTTTTTTGTAGAATTAGTTGGCGTACATAACACCTTGGAAACATTATTTTTTGAACACTTAGGTTGAAAATGAAACATGATGTACTTTTTACAATACTTTTAATACTCAGTTAACTGAAATATCACTCTTTTTTCCCGAGTTATTGATTGCTTAGCAGCTGAGAACTAGTTCATAAGCATTTGTCCATCAGAGAATCCCTAGAGTCCTGTTTTACCCTCTATAACTGTGTGTGTATGTGTTTACTTTTCTATTTAGTACATAAAGTATGAATACTAATAATTACTATTATTACCTATCGACCCTGAAGACCTATGAGAACATATATATGTATGAAGATACATTAATAACTATTACTGTGTTGTTTAAGAAGTTAGTCGGGGGGAGGAGGAGTTATCACCTCATGTGAGAGAAAAGGATGTGGTCAACAGTGACATACATAATTTATGGGGTTAATGTTTATTGGATAACCTACATTTCGAAGTTATAGGTCTTCATTGTACCTTTCATTCAGCAATGTCAGGAGAATCATAGGAAAGTGAACCCAATAAACTGATTAACAAAATCAAATTATTTACGGTTCATTCCTGAATTACAATAGGGACGTATCACTATTAATTTATCGCAGTCAGTAGAGAATTGTTAAAGCCAATATAGTTATATTTTAAAAAGAGTTTAGAGCCAAATATTTAAAATTTCCATATTTTTTATTTTTTGTTATATTCCTATAATTTAATTTTTAAAATATCCTCTCATAAATTGAAGATATCTTCAAATTCTATTTACTGTATCTTGAGAAAAAAATATAATAGAAACAGTAAATTTAGTATTTGCATGATAGTAGTTAACTCATTGATCATTGCTTAGATGCATCAAACGAACCCAACAAAATTTACATACCTATACAAGCATAATAAAAAAATTAGATCATAGTTCATCATGATAATATTTCTGTCTTAACACATATCAAATTGGATTTAAATTTTCAGCTAAACAAATGGAGAAAAATAAAATGTGAGCATGTAAGCACAGAAATCACAGCTTTTTAACAACAAATTCTGGACAGGCGCCATAAGAGAAGAAGCGCATATGAATCTGAAGAATAGAGACTAGTTTCCATTATTTACTACAATCGCCTACTGAATACTTGCCTAATAGTTGTGCAATGCTTCATTAATTATTTACAATGTAAAAAATATATATACAGACCAATTGTTTAATAGGTTGTACTGTGCTACAGTAGAAAAATGAAGATTGTTTCCAACTTGTCGTTTTATTATTATAATTGAAAAACTTGCATACTTTTGATGCAATACATTTTTGTTAAACAGGATTTTTTTAATTTATGCCTCTAATGGACCTATTTATTTATTGGCACAATATCAAGATTTGCCCTAATAAAAAAATCAATAAGTGACAAAAAAGCTTATAATAAAAAATCAAAATGGATAAATTAACTGATTACTACTCAGCAATGAATACAATGATTAAAAAATTATATAAATTATAATAAACAGTTCTTAAATCGTTAATTGAATTGCTTATTTAAGAGTGAATGATTAATTAAAATCTTTTCTGGTTTTAGGGACACACCCTATTATGTTTAAATAAATTATGCTTTAGATACTATAGGAACATACTATATTGCAATATATAAACTCACATTTAACCTTTCAGCAAAATCATGTGACAACACAAAATTGCTAGTTTTCTGAACACCTCAACTGAAATTATTGTAAATTTGAATTTCGAATCAATTTACAATCATTTCAATTGAGGTAATAAAACTAAAAAAAATTAAATGTACCATTATTCGTGCTGGAAGGCAACTTCTATGTATTTAAAAGATGTTTTCAAATCAGTACATCCTCCTTTTCACCATTACCTATGATAAAGAACTTTGATTTGTAAAGGTACGTTTAGACATTCCACAAACTATGGGACAAACAAATATATAAATGGTTATTTCACTATGCTAGTATTTTAAATTCTTGTTTTTTATATTTTCCATCTGCTGTCAGTATCAAGAGAAATAAAATAAATAGTTTGGTTTAGCAATAATGTCACTGTAAGCTAAGTTAGATAATTGTGTTTCCCATAGTTTGTAAAATGTCTAAACGCACTTAAAGGTTTAAACTTATTGAGGCCATGAACAAAAGTGTATTGCCTTAGAAACCTAAAATTTAGCAACTTTGATTCAAATCCAGTGCAAGGATGTTAGAATTTATTTCATAGTAAACCAACAAAATGATTCTTGACCTTCCCACTCCGGTTTGAATAGGTTGATTAAGCCAATAGAGCAACACTTCTATAATTGTTTTTTTTATATATTTCACCTCAAGTTCCAACAGACTTCCATGAATATTATAAAATTACTGAGGGGATATATAAACATATAGGATGTATACATATAGATGAACGGGTAAGAAATATTTCAATATCATAGAGAATTTAAAAAAAAAATTATAAAATGATTCAGGAAAGATTATTAGCAGATTAAAAAAAATTATCCATGAGGTAACAGAAATTGATTTAGAAGATCTTATGTTGTTATATTTTTTTATTCAGAAACCAGAGACTGAAGCTATTAGAACAATAACCTCAAATATTTGTCATGAGATAGCAGTATGACTGTGATGCTATTCTTTTATCGCTAATAATACCAATGATACCAATACAATATAATAGACCAATAGCAAAATTCCAACCATCAGTATTAACATTTACCAGAAAATGATTAGTTAGTATTAAATGTAAAGTTTTATGGCCAAAATTTTTGTTATAATTTTAAATCTTTTCATAACTTTACTTATAAATCTCGAAAACTACAGTACTTTCAACCCCTAGCAATTATGGATGAAAGAAATAAGACGATGAGAAAGAAGTAATCCGTACTGTTGAGGATGGCACAACATTACTGGATTCTTTACCTAATGGATTTGGCAGTGACTTTAGAACAAATGATTTGTTTTTCATTAATTCAATATTATTAATTGACTGATTATATATTCTAGCCCTTAATAGAGCTAATTTCATTTCATAAAGATAAGAATATGCTAAAGCTCATACTTTGTTGACTGATTATAATTTTAAATCCCACATCTGTCTTAAAAACATTCAGGTACGTCAATTAAAGATCGTATCTTTTTTTACTTTGGTCTGCATTAGTACAAATCATTGCCTTTGACTATTGTTTGTGTGTCAAAAAAAACAAAAAAAACTGCCCTATTTGATTCATCTACCAATAATATTATATTTCGTGATGGACCCGTGGAATAAATATCAGATTTCTATTATGACTAAATCACATTCTTGACCTGCAGGATTATACTTCCTGTCCTATTAGCAACTATATAATCCATTGGATTGTAAATAAATAAATTATGGGGTGTGGGCAAGGCTCCTCCAAATAAGTAAATCTTATCATAATTAAAAATTTTAGTTTAATGCTTTTACTGACAATAATATCAGAAATTCAGATTAATTGGCTATGCGTACTACTACTTTTTTTTTTAACTTACAATATAGTAAGTTAATAAATGAGTTAGAAAATTTCAAATCAATCTTGAAAAAAAGTACCTATTCCAAGTCATGAAATCATGAATCAAATTATCCATAGTTTGATATGATTGTGATGATTATTATTATATTAATTGCAGAATTGAGAAATAGATATCAGTTCTAATTACTGAATCTACTTTTTAAATAAGTATGTGCTGACACATCAGTGAATTTAAAAGTTCTTTATCCTAGTTGAATAGAAGAATGTTTTTGTATTTTTTTTTTTACTTCATCTATAGATACTATTCAATTTGCATTATTAGTTAATAGGACTAGTTTCCTAGATTTTTGTATATTTATTTATTTTAATTCTAGAAATGTTTCAGAGTTCTTAAGGATACGAAATATTAGATTTAGAGGCATAATAATATAGTATTATTCCTAAAAATATAGGTTGTATTGCTTTCTAGATTGGGAAATGTTTCCTTGATTATCTGGCAACAAACTATTATGTGGAATTCCCAACATAATTATCATAGAGATTAGTCTTCAACGACTATTGTTTCAATTTAAAAATTTCTATAATTCATATTCTACTGTGCAGAAAACAAAATGTACAAAAATAGAGTAGCTGTAATTCATCTTTTCTTTGTTTTTTAACATCTTATGTTGATCTGAAATTGATATAATTCTTCATTTTATAATGTAAATTATTACAACTTGGAAGAATTACTAAGATGTGCTCAAAGATAAACCTTTTTATGTTATTCGTGGACGATCAACATCCACTTTAATAAATGGTCCAAATTGAATTTAAATAAATTACTACAGCTAATAAGGCAAAAATTGGTTACAAAAGAACAATGTCACAGTATCATTAGTTAATAGAGTTAAAACTAATTATTTTTATAAAGTTCTGAATAACCATTTAAGTCTAATTGTGTTATGTGAAAAACAGGAAGATGTAATATGTGAAATGTCCTACCGGACATTATGTCACTTGGCACTATAAAAAAAAAATCCCTAGTTGACAAAGGCAGCATTCAGGATTCAAGGCTTTTATACAGTCGTTTCTCGGTCGGTCTCAATGACTTCGACCGAAGGCTTTGGTCAGGAAGGTTTTGAGGCAGCAGGGTGTGGCCTACGTTGTCGGCATGCTACGAACAGGCACAGAAGTGTGACAAATGCTATAAGTGCGCCAGCGGCTGTAATAACCACCATACGTCGGTCAGTGAGAGCGGAGAGTAGTTTTGTTGTCACTCCTAAATGAATATATGAAATGGATATACTGTAAGATTTCTAGAAATAACTATACTGTTAATAAGAAAATATGAAGGAAAATAATTCCTAAAAATATGATACAAATTATAAAGGATCATGATATCTGTCAAAATAATTATATTTACCACAATCAGGATTATCTTCATCAAAACCTGAAGGACAATTAATGTGTCCATCACAATACAATGCTGGACTGATGCAGGCATCTAATTCAGGACATCTGAAATTATTACAATTAAATTATACCATGAAGATTTTTTGAATTATTATTATTATTATTATTTGAACATTTTGAATTATTATTAGCTATTCCGTTTTTTTTTTTTTTTAATTTCATCAAAAGGTAATGAGGGATTCTGTAATTAACTATGAAATAATTAAAGATAGACTAGCGTAAATTGGTTGGAAACTGTGTGTGAATGTATGATTAGATTTTCAGTTATTCTTACCTCAAAACAGTCAAAAGTTTTCACCAACAAATATTGAAAATTTATCTTAGAAGATGATCTCGGGAAAGAGACTATAAGTATTAGTAGAAAGAGGCCTTTTCAGTCTTGATAAATAATTACTTTATTTCAAATTTATCCAATTTTCGCCTCTTCAGGCATCTTCAGGGATAATCTGATATTACATGTATTTTAAATTTTCATTCGCTTATAGCAGAACATAACCGAATGAGGTACATGTAAGTGAATGAAAATTTAAATTACATGTAAAATCTGATTACCCCTGAAGATGTCTGAAGAAGCAAAAATTTGAAATAAAGTAATTATTTATAGAGAGTGAAAAGGCCTTTTTCTACTAATAATTTATCGAAGTAAAATTCTTTTAATTATTACATAAATATTAATTAATTCTAAGGTGTATCTAATTTTTTTTTTTTAATACCATATTGCTCAATATTTAAGGTATCTACAATAGAATCATAATGTACATATGATATAAATGTAAACGATCAAAGAATTTTATCAAAACATATTAATTTTAACTGTATTTTATTAAAATGGATAAATATAAGTCTAAATGAAAATCTCTTGTGAATGCATTCCATAAGAGAATTTTCTAAATATTTAGGGAACAATATGCTCCAAAATCAATGTTATTTTTAATTTAGTTTAATTATTTTCATTTACTTGTATTTTTTTACTTTTTTTAATGGGTCAGAGCATCTTATAATATAATTATAACAAAAATGTATTTATTTATTTGATTGCCTCAGCCTCTAAGGGTCACTGACAAAATTACAATGTATTCTATTCTATTGTAAAATATACAGTTCTTCAAAAATTTCATCAATCATATACAGCATCTTCAGTATCCTCTTCTAAGTTAAGATTCATGTATGTTTTCCGACAAATGATTGAAAGTTTCAGGCAATTATTAGAATATCTTTGACAGTTCTAGTTACATGACAATATTCACGGGTCGGATCCTCAAGATCTCTCAAGAGATAGCGGTACAAAATTAACAGTATTCTATATAGAGTCTGGATAGTCACAGATAGATACAAAATCTAGATAGAACTATCTTTTTTTTAAATTAGGACTTCTTGTATTCCATTTAGCAGGTGTTTGTTTGATTTACTTAATCTCCATTTTTCTATCCACTTAAATTTAATTTTTTTTAATATAAATTTTGGCCCATTCTCTGTAGTTATTGTTAAGTTTTCACAGTAGGTCCTTTGTTTTTGAGAGACTAATGAGCAACATGATCAACCCTGTCACTTCTTGCTATTATGCAATGGAAACAATATTTTTATTGTTCTGATAAAGCTACCACCAGGTCATTTGAATTTCAACAATAAATGCATGAGTTATGAATTTCTGGAGACTGTAAGCATGGACATGAATTTGTCACTATAATTAGATTAGTATTTGTAATACTTTCACGTATGTTCAGAGATTCTCTAATGGCAGCTGCTTTAGCAGAAAATATAGAGCTCTCTCTTGGTAATTCGTATAAATACTGACTGGAGTTACTAACTACCGCACTTATCAAAACTGTAACTACTTTTTTATACATTAGTATATACAATTGAATAGTTTTTAAACTTGTCTATCAGTTCAATGATTTATTTTTTTATTTCATTTTGGTTTTTAGATCCTTTTTAATGATATTTATAATGAATTTAATAATATTAAAAAATTAAATTAATAATATTTATAAAGAAAATTAATTTTATTTAAAATAAAAACTAACCTGTGTTTACATTCCCAAGTTGAAACATTGCCATTTGTTCCAGTGAGGCTAGCAGAAAAAGAACGTGAACGAGATATTTCAAGCCAGTTCAGATGAGCTGTGCCTTGTTCACTTCCAATGAGACGTACAAGAAAAGATGGAGGTCCAGGTGACCATCCGCTTGTCCAATCCTCTGAAAAAACATGGACAGCAAACTCCTTTTCCTTTTCTGTAGCTGGGCATACGACCCGCAGAAGCCTTCAAGACAAAAGATATTACAATATTATAAAATACATACATCATATAAGTTAACTTAAAGTTACAATTTATATATCATTCTTTAAAAGGCATGAATACCAATGAAAAGTAATAAAATACAATTTTAAAACATGTTTTTCATTTTACTATTTCTTAGTAGCAAAGATACTGGAAGAAATGAATTGTTGATATTCTCTTTGAAGAGATGGAATGAAATGGAATTTTGTAAATACAGCAGATCAATGTGTTTATTGGTCCAGTATTATCTCAACATCATTAAGTTCTTCATGGTATTATCCACGATTCATTTCAATTTATTTCTGAGAAAATTTTAAAGAATATAATACTAAAATAAGAAAGGTAATTAAAAAGTGGTTTATCATTTAAATATGTAAAAACAATTGTATAAATCAAACATAATTACTTCAACGGTAGTCCTGTGTAAATAAGGACTCTGTTTGTTGTATGGCATGCATCTGCAGAATCAGTTGGTGAGAGGAAGTGACCCCATGTGAGAAGGAAGAGTGATCTATTTCGATTAGCTTCGACCAGCCAAGGCAGTCTTAAGCAATGGAGGTCATCTCTGTCAGTTGGCCTCGCTGTCATTCTTATTTCGCCGCCAGAACCACTTACCCTCTGACGTCGGGGGCAAGCATCAAACTTGACAAATCTAAAATTATTTAATCATTGGAGTGAATATTTTCTTTTTCCCTAGCTATAAAAAAAGTTATAAACAGAAATGATTTTTAATTTAATTTAAAAAAAAAATATGATGAGTACTAGAACATTGTTAGAAATATTCCAAGTTGCTTGAGTTATTTTAATTACTTTATATATAAGATCAACACATGTAAGAGAGAAAATAAAAAGACAAAAGGTACCTAAGTTAGAAAAAATTAAAAAAAAAAAATTCTGTTGCTTTATTGTTACCTGTCTGAAACCAAAGTGTATAAACATTGATAGTATTACATATAAATAGATAGGTAGATAGAAAGTTATATTGCACATAACGTCTAAATTTTCTTTCTTTAAAAAAAAAATACTTTTATTGGCATGGTATAGAATTGTCTGTCATGAGTTTCCCCTAAAATATATACAATGAAAAAAAAAAACAATTAACTCCAAAAAAATAAAACAAACTTATAGATTAAATTAATTTATAGATTTTATAGATTTAGATTAATTTACCACTTTGATCCCCAAAAGATTAAATATAAATATAATAGCAATAAATTATCTTTTCTTAATGCTTTTTTACATATATTACATAATACCATTATTTGTTATAAATAAATCAAGCAATCAATAAATTGCCGTAAAGGGCAGTTTATGGGCCCTAGGCTCCCCCGCCACTGGTCTATCTCTACTCCATCCTCTCCCTACTCCTCCTACTTCACCCACTTTCCATTTCAACTCCACCATTCACTTCCTGGCCCACTAAATTAACCCCTCTCCTGTTGGGTCTTTTGTTCCATCCTTCGATCTGAATCATTTGTACTACTATACTTAAATCAATCATTTTATTATTTTTATTTTATATTTTTTCAATTTTAGATATAATTATAATAGATTTACTCCAATCAAATAAAATACTAATAATTCATTAAAGGAAGTATCAATTTTTTTTAATTAAAGCAATAAATCAAGCAATTAAATCAATATTTGAAAATCAAACTATCATCAATGGTTTATCAAACTATCATAAAGAGTTTTATTTAGATATGAAATTTCAATGAAGGAATATTTATAGGATTATCACCAATTTATAGAAAATACAGCATGAATAATAAATAGTTGGAAATTTATCAGTATTTTAATTATAAAAGTAAACATTTCGATTAGTCGATCTTGAACAGGTGAATATCTTTTATGACAATATATGCCGATTAAAGGTCAAAGTGAATGTTTTCTCATAATCTTTTCTAAGTATCAATCTCAAATTGTATAACCTTATACCTTTTCATCAAAGTAGAAAATTAGATAACACAAAAGCTTAAAGGGCTACGGAGTGAAACAATAATTTATATTAATGTTTTGAAAACAGGAGGTGTGAGTTCTCGACAGTAATGTCATCAAAATGTATAACAAAAGTTTATTCTTATGAAATACAGCCTCTTAAAAGGAGATTGAGAATTTTCCTAAAATTCTTATAAAAGCAAAACAATATTATATTTATTTAATAAATTCTGCCTGTCTTGGGCTATTTTTTTGCATTTATCTGCAAGCAGCTCTGTTGCTTTTTTATATTATATAATATTTGAATTTTATTTCATTCAACATTTCTCTAATCTATTTGTTTTATTGATAGGCTAAAATAAATTATTTTAATACATTTTTTTTTTATTTCTAACAAATAGCAAGCGCCCCAGAAGATCTGCTGTCACCCCAGGGCAATGGCCCTGTATGGCCATATAATATTTTTTCACATGCGTGCCATTAATCATTTCAGGGAGTGCCCTTAGTGAAGCATGTTTATATTATATTTATTGTTTCTTAGCATAATTGAATATTCTTACCTGTAAGTTCCTTCAAAATAAATATCTTGAAAGTCTTCTGTAACATTAAAAGATGACACTATGAAGGTAAGTTCCAGAATCTGTCCAGATGAAGTAAAACTGACATGGCCATCAGTCGTTTTGGATATCACAGTATTGTCACAATGGCAACCTTTCTCAAGACGAACATCATTCCATGGCAAGTCGTACACAGTTAGCTGTACAGACCGATGTCCTGTTGGTACACAGATAGGCTGCCTTGTATTAGAATCAATCACAGTCTTACACCTAAAAAACAAAAAAAAAAACCTGATAAAATGGGTATAATTTAGCTTTATCTAAGTAATAAAAGTTTTTCTAAACAGATCAAGTATCACATTTAGACAGATGGTTTTGACCTGATAATGTGATTAAATCACAACAAACAATGGATATGTCATTCACATTTTAGCAAAACACTTTTCTACATATCTTACTGACTACAACCAATTTCTCAAATGGACAAACTTCGGACTTGATACTGAAGGACTAGAATCCCACATATCTAAATGATACAAAATACACTGAAAAGTTACTGAAAATACAGTTATCTCTTTTTAGAAATTTCAGAATCAAAAATTAGAGAAAACTAAGTACATTTACGTACCTAACTAAATCCAGAAGGACTCGTGTCTCAAAGATTTAAAAGATCTAGTTACATAATCTACAATATTTTCATTATATAATGTAAGACAAATTACAAAACTCCAAGTTACAAAATAATATATTGCTCAGTTACTGAAGCCTAAGCTGTGCTCACCCAAATACTCACCCATTATTTCCAAATGATGCTCCTTTTATCACAAGTTCTATTCTTTCACCAGAAGCACATTCCAATCTATATAGGCATGTTAAATTTGCAGCACCACCACGTCCAAACATAAAAACATTTCTTGGAGATCTTATTTGACCATTTTTAGCTCTCCTGTAATGAAATTAAATATAAAAATTGTTTAATTTACTAGTAAATATGATTTTCAATTTTTTTCTTGAAGAATGGTGTCAAAACTGGAAAATTATAATAAATCCTAACAAATCCCATCACATTCCCTCTATCTTATGCCATAGCCCACAATACCATGCCTAACAGTATACTTTAATAATATCCTGCTAATCCATGGCAAATAGATTTGTTACTAGGACTCCATCTTGATAAGCTTTTTATCTGAAATTCTCAAACCTGAAACTGTTCTTATACTCCAACTACTACAACACTTAGTTGACAAACACCCCAAACTTTCTATAAAAAGCTCATTTATATTATAAGCCTATTTGGGCCTACATGATTTGGGACATACTAACTCAGGGGCTTCATTAAATCATGAAATATCTCCATCATCCAATTCTAAGAATACAAAATCTGTCAAAGAATCGTTAATGCTCCTTTATACATAAGTAATTAAATTATAAATAAACGGTTCAATATTCCATTTGTTGCAGATTTGGCTTAAAATAAATATATCTTGACTATATTAATTATTACTACAAATCAATTAAGATAAATATATTACTTCAAAATTATTCATTCCAAATAGAGTAACTACATAAGTCAATATCTTTTGAATGAAACGGTTGCAAGCATATTTCTTGAGGATTATTATTATTATTTACTTATTTATTTATTTTTTTTTTAGATCCTAAATTCACTTTAAAGTTTGGTCATTTAATTTGGGAGCACCTTGTATGGTTTTGTTGGCAAATCAACTTTTAGAAATTTGATAATTTGTTTTCTCTGAAGACGAGCATTAAATAATTGATAACATGATGAGATCTGAGGTGGTAAGGCCAGCTATGTGAAAAATATAAGTGGAACGTAGAAGCATAAAACCTGGGAAGTCTTGCTCTAGACTATGAATAAGTTAGCCAGGGAGAACATCATCCTTAAATTATGTTTTATTATTTTTGGTAATACTATAATGTTTTTGTTTTAAATTCATAATTTATATAACCTCGATATTCACCTGAATATTCTAGCACAAGGACCAGCTCCCTTCATTCCCTCTCCACCAAGCCTGGTATCTACAAATTCATAGTAAAACTTGAAGTTTGCTGGAGTTACAGCAGTACCTTCTGCAGACCTTAACAACAACAAAAAAATACACTTAAAATACATATACACAAAATAAATTAAAGTAACCACTCCTTATTTATTTATTTTTATTGATAACAAAATTTATTTCAATGTATACAGATATTTTTGTTAAAAATTTAACATATAAGTAATCCACACAGTATATAATAAAAAAAATGAAAAATATTGGATCTCTTCTCCCTGTTATCCCAAATTACATTGCAATTATATTTTATTTAAATCTACTTTCTTCTTAACATATTATTTTAGTTTACTTATTTTGGCTTAAAAACAATTATTTTTGCAAGAAAGTAGATTTAAATAAATTATTTATTAATATTCAAATAAATAATAGATTGAAAATTTTAACAGTATACTACCAAAAGGGATGTTATTTTTTTTCAAAGTTGTGAGACTTCATCTAAATTAAATTTGAACTTATTTAATAATAAAATAATAATATAAATGCTAACTAAAATATAATTTTATTAAAATTAGACGAAAAACTAAATACATAGATATATATGTCTACTCAATCCCGTATGAACATGTCTCACAGAGTTATGGTTCAGCAAAAAAGAGGTTCTTATTTTTTTCTATTTTAAGGCTTCAACCACTAGGGTCATTTTTGCCTTATTTTCATTGAGAATTAGATTGCATTTTCAAGTTTAGAACATTTCAGAAAAGTAAATAGTTTATCAATTTCATTCGTATTGTCCTGTAAAATGAAGTGTAGATCATTTGTCAAGTCACAAGAGAGTCTAAATGTTTTGTAATCCCTGCATTCTGTTAAAATGTGTTTCACTGTCAGAGGAGTCCCACAGGTTTGGCATGTTGGTGAAGAATCACGGCCCATCAGGTATCCATGAGTAAGGCGTGTATGACGTATATGCAGGTGTGTAAGAATTACTTCCTCTTTGCAGTTATTCCTGTTTGACGATGCTCAAGAGGAAACGTCACCCTTAACCTCCCTCAATTTATTTTTGGAAAAATTCTTAAAAACTACATTATTTCAATCTAAAATTTTAAGATTAATAACAGATGCTCCCTGTTACATAAACAACAAACATGTAATTTATCATTAAACAAGTAAATTATCATCATGAAATGATGAAATGTATAATAAAAATGTCAATAAATAGTAATTTCTACAAAGAAAAAAAAAAAAAAAACTACAAAACTTTACATACCACTTTTTGACAACCAATCGATCAGCTCATTCATACTCTTTACTCCTGATTTCATATTAAACTACATGGACACTACAATAGACTTATGAACGACATGGTCACAACTGAAATACTCATCATGAGGCAACTAAAAAGGACTCGGATGAGAGATGTTCTTTCCTGAATTAAGAAAGTAAACAAAGACCAGATGCTGTTGGGTACTATTCTTCCTCATGCCTAAAATCCCATTTTCCAAACAATAACAACATATCTGGTTATTGTCACATCTGTGAGAGGTATGGTTGAATATTTAAAGAGGGTAAATAAAAGTGAACTATATAATTTAATTTACAAACACATGAAATGATTAATAATGAAAAATTTAGATAAAATATGCATCAATCTACAGATTTTAGTAGAATGTTTGAAATCAACCACTGTGATTTTTTTCTTATACTCTTCATAAGAAAATAAAATATACATTCAAAAATTAATTGAAAAGTGATGAGTATCATTCAAAATAAGACAATTTTTTCTATAATGAATTTTAGTTAAGATATTTAATCCTGTAATTTTACAAGTTTTTTTTTCTCTTTTTTTCGTCTCTACCCTAAAGGGTCATTGGCATTTTCTATAATTTATGTTCTGTTATAGTAAGCTATAATCTTTAAAAATTTAAACATGGTAGAGACACATTCTTCATTATCTTGTAGAATATCTCTTAGTGTCTTTCACAGATCTATGTTTTTAAAATTAACTTTCTTAAATGTAACTTTCGAATTGGAGACATTTTTCCAGAAGGTGTTTCACAGTATGAGGTGTATTATTGCATTTTTCGCAAGTGGGAACTTCTAGACCTCTTAAAAGATAGCTTTGTATGAACTGGCAGTGCCCAATCCTAAGAAGGCACAGTATAATTTCTTCATACCTGGAAGTTATGGTGCTAGTGAGCCATTTATCGCAATTAGATTTCACTTCTTTCAGCTTACCCTCTTTGATTTTCCATTCTTTTTCCCCACTGTGCCAGTTGTTTTTTCTTTGTTTGGTATACCCTGTCTTCTAAAGTGTTATATTTCAATCCAGTCACTCCCTCTTCTTGCTAAATGGGCTGCATGGTCAGTTTTTTAATTCAGTATGGTAATTCAGTATAGTATACTATATAATATTTGAAATTTATTTTGTGAAAAATTTAGTTTTGAACAATTTTCCAAATAAAAAATAAAAATTATATAAACAATATCCACTATGCTTAAAACAATTTCTGGTTTATATTTAATTCAGCATTTAGATATCAATATTACCAAACTCCTACTCACTTATAATCAAAATTCAGTTTATTCATTCTTGATAGATAAGATTCCTGCTGTAAACTACAAGGTCGAGTTTCGCGACTAGAGTTACGAAGAGCTGAATGGTCACAAAGCCTCGGTGTTCCACATGTGTCCTCCAACAGATTTCCACCCACCTCGTTCAACTTCATTCGCACGCTGCAATTAGCCCCAGCCTAATTAAAATTACAGAAAATTATGATGCAACATTTTTTAATATGAGTAAAGCTAAAGTGATTTATTTTTTTAGAAAGCTTTAAAATGAGTAGATATTGTTTGTAAAAGCTGCAAGGAATACACTCAGGTATAAACAATATTTGATGACTGTATCAAATAATTTGTCCAGCTTGAGGAGGTAACATTATAATAAAAAAAAATTTAAAAAAGGGAGGTGACTGTCGCTCAACCATCAGGTTTTCCCCTTAATTAATTATTAAATTAAGAGTACCCACTTTATAGAGGCTGGGTTTGTCCCAGGAGGGTCTCCCGGCCCCAGGGTCAACCCACAGCTGATGAAAAAATTACTATTCATCAGCCGGATTCGAATCGAATCTGGGACCTTAAGCTCTGGAAGTCAGTGCTCACCCACTGAGCTACCTCGCTCCTTCATTATAATATAATGTCACAATGAAATAATCACAAAGTACTTTATAAATACATAATTTATATACTGTTAATCAACCATTTAGAATAGTATTTTATGTCTTGTTGCATAATTTTATAAAGCTATCTCCTTATGCCTATAGAGATATATATAATTATTATACATAATATAAAATATACAGATAACGACAGAAACAAGTTGCAATGACATTGATTGAAGCAGGGGTTGAAAAAATATAAGTTCAGTAGCCATTTCATCTGTCCATTTCTTATAAAGATTAAAAAAACACGTTTCAGATCAGTTTTCGATAAATAAAGTTGACTAAAACAGTCATAGGAGACGTTAACTTTTTTAAATATACCGTCGATATATTCAAAATATAAAAAAAAAAATTTTTGGAGCTAGTTAATACGGAGTACTAAATATACACATCCGAAAAGACAGAACAGTATTGCGGGCAGTGTTGTGCTTGTATTTGAAGGGGCTAGTTGCAATCAGCTTTTATTCATATTTTTATAAAATCAACTATTTCGGAAACATATTTACACAAAATATTACAATGTATATCTTTAATTTACTTAATTGTTCTTGTTGATAATATATTACTTAATGTTACGTTTAGAACAACATGCACCAATCATAGGGTTACTTTAATGAAGTAAATAAGGAATTATTTAGGTGAATTATAAAGTGCATTTATAAAACTGATCTCATCATAAACCTATTATAATAAGTTGAATGTTTTACACTTTGACTTTGTTTCAGCTGAATCACGAATTACAATTTACAATATGACAGATCGAATTTTTTTTCAATGAAAATTGGTTAAATAAATATAAAATGTTTATTTAACATTTAAATTAAAATGTTATTATTATGCAAATGAATCATTGAGACATTTACTAGATTTCTGTGATAGTCGTGCCAATCTATGATTTTTAAAAAAGTTTTTTCTAGAAAAATTACATTAAATAAAATATAATAATGGATCAATCAATTGAACATTACCTGGGGAAGGGTGTAGGCAGCAAAGTAAATCCAAACCCTATGATATGAGGCTCCCCAAAGCCGATAGTTACAGGTTATGTTTGGTGGAAGGCTATGCCTGGGGCTGATGACTTGTCCACGGCTACTTTTTGTTCCATTTACGAAAAACTCACACCTAGAAAGAAATAATAAAAATAAATAAATAAAATGATCACTAGTCTTTCATCTAACAAAGTAATGTTAATAAAATAATTACTATAACTTTTGAAAGGTATTGCAAATTTATTTTATCTCAATAACATATTAAATTCAATGTTTTGTATTTCAAGAAATCCATTTATATATTTATGAAATGTCATTTATTTTTTTTAAGCATATTCTCTGAGCAGCACTAAATAATGTGAAATAGTTTTCTCAGAAACAATTGTACAGAAATCATCATATGGGTGATAGATAAATTTTTTAAACACTTATTCCAAAAACTATGACATTAAATATGGTTAGAAATCATGTTGAAAATATCGAGTGATACTGAGAATATGTATTTAAAAAACTACTCCATAAAAAAAAGTCAAGGATGTTGTTAGAGAGACCAAAAGATAAAAATATATTTGCTCAATGAAATATTCACAGTTCATGATCTCGGTGTATTTTTCTATACCAGGAGAGAAAAATATTGATTGATTTTCTTTTTTTATTTAAATTATTAGCTCTATAACAGTAAATATTACATTTGCTATATTTTTTTCTGCCGTCACCAGTTATGTGAATAACGATAAAGCTAATGTTTCAGTTTTCACCACTCTTTTTGAACAATAATGTATTGAATCATTTCACATGAAATGTCCGTTTTTATTATTCCAGAAATTCAAAGTTGTGAACTTGTTATTTACCGAGTTTATGTTCATTGAGCCATTATTGATCCTATATTTTTTGCAAAGATTTACTATCATTCCAATTGATTGCACATTTTTTAGTATGTCATAAAATATGACCATGGAAACACGCAATCATAGAGTAATTTGTTTTTATAAACATAACTCCGACGTTCCGGAAGGAGTTTTGTAATTAACAGACTATTAGCCGGTGCAGAAAAAGTGCATCCAAATAATATTGGTTTCTGTGTGGTTGTCAATGGCAGGAATAATTTATTTCTCATTTTTACTCAGAGGTTAAACCATCACATCTACACCGTACTGCAGTAATATTGTCATAATGCATCAAAAACTTGTCAAAAAACAACCTGCATTGGTTAATAATAAGGAATCTATACTATTACTCGACAACGCCATTTCTCATGTTTCAGGACAGACAGTGAAGTAACTAAACGAGGTGTGTTACGAAGTCCTTTCACACCCATCTTGTTCACCAGACCTATCTTCAACAGATTTCTATGTGTTCTATGTTCTGAAATTTGGACAACTTAGCTAAACATAACATATTTGAAAATGATTCTTAAGTCAAAAGCGATTTTTATGAGCTCATTTCTTCAAAAAGCACTGTTGTTGTTTTTTTTAGTTCTGGAATTGAAAATATTGATAACACGTTGGAGAAAATGATGGTAAATATTTTGAATAAAAATGTGTTAATTTCATAAAGTTGTTTTACTAAATAACCTCTCCTATGAAAACTGACATTTCATTTGAAACGACCCAATAATTTTTAAACATTGGGCAAAAATAGCAGAACTCAAGCACTTGACGACTAGAATTCCTAATATTGCTATGATTGGATTTATAGACAAATCTCACTCAATCATAACGTATAAGAAGTCAATTAGTTTTTGTACTAGACATATAAATTTACTTGTAGTTAATGCTTGACTAAATGTTTCATTTTAAATACATATCAGTATTTATATACGCTATGAAATCTGATACCAACTTGCTTCCTCTTGCGAAGTCAAGCGAGTCGGAGTCAGCGAATATGACATCAATCGAAAGTGAAAAACCGTGTTCTGGTCCTGGTTGAGGAGAAGCGTACGGGGAAGAAGAAAAAACGACGGTCAAGGAAGGGCCGCGGGATATGACGTGAGGTAAAAGCCCTCCTCCGCAATACTCGGCCAATGGCACTGTGTCGCCCGTGTTGAAGAACAGTAACCGATCTTCCGTCGAAGAGCATGGCCGCTTGGTATAAGCTACAGTCTTATTTAGTCCAGCTACAGACCTGAAAAAAAAAATGAAGAACATTAATGTATAATCGATACATAGAGAGAGAGATTAATTAATAAATATAAGCATGTTTCAGATTTGAAATGGAAGTATTTAAAAAATATTTATGGTAGTCGTCACGAAATCAGAAACTTTATACGCTAATTTTAGTTTTCCAAATCATTCGTCGACATCTCTTTCATTCTTGGAGAATGTTTTAATGGTGTACTTAATGAGGAAAGAATCTCCAACTCAATTTAATTTCTTGACGCATATCTCTCTCAGTGAGCCATATCTTGACCGAATATTATGCATTGCAATCTCTTAAAGACCAACATCTTTTCAGAAATAGCCTTGAAGAATCATTCCAGAAGGACCCCAATGGTATTAAAAGCTGAATATTGTTCATTTAGGAAATAAAAATACTTATAAAAAATGTATTTGCGCCTGTCAACTTGTTGTTGACAATCAGCAAATGTTATGGCGATACATGAAATAATGACATGACAGGCACAATCATAATTCGGCATTTCTTGCTATGTGACACACAGGACACACCACCCCGATAATCAAAAAATTGACTTGAAAGCCAGTAAACATATATTTTTTTATAAAGTCATGAAAAAATTGACCCAGGTGTTTGAAGAACCCAAAAAATTTATAAATAAATAAAATTGTGTACGCAGAGATAAGGTATCTTTCTATTGTATTTTATGGAATTTTCAAAATTTTAAATTCGCCCTGAATCGCGTTGAATGCAGTCGTCCTGGACCGAAGTTCCTAATTTCGTGATCGCTAGTTATAAAAGATTTTTTAAAAGTTGTATTGGTATAATCACAAATATTACGGACAAAAACGAGTAATGATTTATATACTGTATGTAATGTCTATACAGTAAAAAAAATTCTTACCTTCGTAGCCTTAAAACGTTATTTCTCACAGCAATCATAGCGTGCTTACATGTTGGTACAGTCTTCTGCTTTATAGTGTATTCGCAGGTAACGTTTCTTGGATATAGACCAGGATAGTTTGGACTTTGGACCTGGCATTTCTTCCTGTCGAAAATATATGAAAAGTATTATTATTTTATTCGAACTTTGTTATCATAGGATTAATATATTTTTAATTTCTAAAATAATAATATAATAATAATCTCCTTTTAGTTGACTAGATTTTTTGTATATTTTTTATTTCTAAAATTTTTAAGCTGAATTTTCAATGCAAGATTTAGAAGTGAATAATGTACATTTTTTTTCTGTTTTCAATTTTCGAGTTAATTTATTTGTAGTTATATCAGGAAATCGGTAGAATGTTTGACTTAAAAAAAGTACCAAACTTTCAAGATTAGGCGTAAGTCTAAGGCGTTTCCGTAAAAAAGCGTGTAAATTCTATATCTAAGTAAGCTTTAGTTTTGAATATTTCAGAGAAGTAATTGTAAAAGTCTTAGTCTTTTATTTAGTGTTCTTTTATTTTTCGTTATACGGGGGCCATATCATTCTTATTTCAAATATTAGACCAAGGTAGTACAGTCTAGAAGTAATGAAATAAATTGTATCTGTCTGTGAAATATTTATATTTCCAACATGATTTGTCCTGATTTCCTCGGCTTTTTCAGAGTTCAAATCAGTTCAGTAATTTTTAAAATACTGTTGAACGATATGTGAGGCGTTTGTTAGGTTTTTGTATCATGCTAAAATTGCTATCATTTGTATATATTACTGTTAAAATGTTGAAGCTACAAGGTATGTATTTGATAGGTTTTTGTGGTAAATACGTCTGAACGTAATGTAAAGTAATGAAGCGATGATTTTTTTCTTTTTTTGTGTCGCTTTACTTGACCTAAAATATACCTGTTTCAAAATGACATACGAATAAGTAAATAATGTGTTTATATCCTTTCGAGGAATTTAAAAGTTAGATTAATGTCAGTCATCTAATTTTAATTGGTTTGTAAACAAAAACCTAAATAAGATTAAATAATAAAGATATCTTAATACGACAGAGGCAAACCTATAGCACTCGTCGTAAGTTGTGCTACAGTGCGAACCAGGGACGTGTACCCCTCGCTCCACTGGGGACTGGAGGCTCCCGAGTCTTGAAACGGCTTCTGGCGATCGCAGGAACTTGTACCTGCAAATACAAATATAGCAATATCACGTATATATATATATATATATATATATATATATATATATATATATATATATATATATATATATATATATATATATATATATTAATATAAACGAGTAAAACTCACCAAGAAACAAACAGGAAATTAATAATTGAAAAAAATACAATTGCACAGCGTAGTTTCACCAAAATGAAATTAGAGAATAAAATAACCTGCCACATTTTCGCCAATTCAGGCATCATCAGGGAAGAAAAGAAAATGAACCCTTCAAGATCACATCAGTCCCTGACATCCAATCGCATTATAATTTTTTTTTTAGATTTATCAGATTTCACGATGCTCTTATCAGAATTGTTGCGAATTATCGCAGAACACAAAAATAGTCAATATATTTTGTAAGAAGTTTATCGGTAATATTTCCGTACTCATTTTCTCCCTCATATAATTATTAATTTTCTTATAAACAAAATTATAATGACCATTAGATAACTCCAGATTCTATGTAATGCCCTAAGTTACCTATCATGATGAAAATCTCGTAATTTAATTTAGGAAAAATATTAACATAGTCTCTGAAACTCAATAGATTACAAATATTATCAGGTATATACACTTTTTGAGATTTTCAGCAAAATTGTTATTATGAAAATTATTGTATCTTTACCAGAGATCGTTATCAGTGTTTTCTTAAACCTTATGCTATCTACAATATAAGGACTATAATAATTTGTGTTATTGATAATAAACATATTAATATTGTTATCTAGGGCGTCTCATATCTTGATAGCCAAACTCTGTGGGATGATTTTAGAAAAAATTTAAAACAAAAAAGTTCAATTGATGGGCCAATTCTTAACGGAAAATGAGTTAAGTCTGTTTTGTGTCTTCCATAAGTTGTTCACATTTTTTATTGAATAAAAAGAAATTTCTCAAACACTATTCAAGATAATTAAATTTTCAGCACATCATCGTAAAGTAGACACAACTTTCTTTAAGAAAACAGTAATTAAATTTACTAAGGTCAATGATAAAAGGGACTTTCGGGAGATCTAAGACTTCCATACTGCTGCTGTTACAGTACCCATATTATCCCCGATTAGTAAGTACCCAGCAGTACATTGGTCGTATTAGACCTTCTGATAGATCACATTTTCTCAGTAAATGTTAGAAAAAACATGTGAGTACCAAATGAACTTATACCATGTTTTCATAGATTTTAAACAGGCATATGATAATATAAGTAGAGGAGAATTACTGAATGTAATGACAAATTTGGGAATTCCCAAAAAACTGGTCACTTTGACGAGAATGAGCCTAAGCGGTAGTAGATCAGTTGTGAAGATTAATGGCCAATCGTCGGAGGATTTCGAGATGAAAGATAGGCTTAGGCAAGGAGAATCTTTATCCTCTACTCTATTTAATATTGCTTTAGAGTATGCAATAAAGGCGATTTGGACATATCCTAGTGGCAGAATTTATAATAGCATCTGGCTTATGCTCATGATGTTGTAATAACGGCAAAAAAAGAAAAAATCATTAGCAGGAGCATAAGAAGAATCCGAAACTGCAAATAAATAACTAGGGCTACAAATAAATAAACAGAAGACTTTTTATATGCAAACGTCAAAAAAGCCAAGTGAAAAAGTCGAACGCGTCACAATTGGCAACCACACCCTAGAAGTGTTTGCAAATTTTAAATATTTGGGATCACTATTTACAGAAAACAATGAAATTGTGGAAGAATTAAAAGCAATGATGACTGCCGGGAATAGATGCTGTTATGCAATGCGAATAATATTAACTTACAGATTTCTTTCTTACAGAACAAACATCATGGTGTATGAGAAAGTAATCAGACCCGTCGTCACCTATTGCTCTAAGACTTGGATGACCTCCAAAGCATCGGAAAAAAAGGCTACTCGCAGGGGAGAGAAGGGTTCTCCGCAGGATCTATGGCCCGGTGTGCGAACAGGGACAATGGAGGATTCGCACTAATAAAGAACTATATGAAAAGTATGCGAGACCGGATTTGGTCTCAATTGTGAGGGGAAACCAGATCAGATGGTTGGGCCATTTGGCGCATTTGCCCCGAGACGCGATTCGCAAACGCTTGCTAGAGGATCGGACTGCTGAAAAACGTGGAAGACCACGCCTGAGGGTGGCTGTACCAGGTAGAGGACAGCCTGAAAAGGATGGGAAATCGAAGATGGAGAATGTTCGCTCGGGATAGCGGAGAGTAGCAAAGGATCATAAGAGAGGCCCAGGTTCCTACAGGACCCTAGCGCCAAGAATAAATAAATTTAAAAAAATTTCTTAAAGAGAATTTTGTCTTCTTTCCTATAGTGCGCTTAGAATTTAATTATTTTGAACAGTTTTTGAGAAATTTCTTTTTATTCGATAGGAAACGTGACCACCTTTCAGTAGACACAAAATTGTTCTTAATTCCTTTTCCGATCTGAATCGACCCATGCATCAAATGAACTTTTTTGTTGGAAAATTTTTCTAAAATCATCCCTCAGAGTTAAGAGGTGAGACACGCTCCATGGTTTATTTGTGAAAATGCTTCTTTTTTAATTTATTATCAAAGAAGCACGCGATTGAATGTCATGGTGGGATGGGATCTTTGGTTCTTTTTCTTTTCTGTCCAAATGATATCTGAATCGGTGAAATGTTGAATGGTTATTTTATTCTTTGTCTACATTTTAGTATACTGTTCTATTAACATTTACTAATTGGCCCATGCGAAAAATTTTGTTTAGTGAAGAAAAAATATGGAAATAAGCAGTTCCTATGTATTATGTAAGGAAGGAATTAATATTTCCTTGGTCGATTACAATATTTCATCAAACTAATAGACTAAAATATTTGTACAAATTGCTTTGCAAGGACCTATTTTTAAACGCTGATCACACTTTACTCCTTCCGTAAATACAAATTGCTTAAATACAAATTATAAATATTTCAAAGTAATAAAGACAAAATGACAAAATAAAGCTCCGATCATGGGATATTCTAAATTATTAAAAAAAATAAAATGCAAGAACAACCAAATGTCTTTAATAAATAATAAAGTTAATATATCAGCCAAGAAAAAAAATGTAGTACACTATTCTACTCCTAAATGCAATATTTTAAAACAGGAAGACATTATTAAGTATACCAAAATTAATTGACTGTATCTTTGTTAATGATTGTCCGATTTTTACGATTTTTTTATTTTATTTTGTAGTTACAATGCATACTTTTTGAGTTATTCGAGAATAAAGTTTTTTTCCTTCATAACTTTTTTCTCAGATATTTCTAGATGATAGGACTATTTTTTGCATGTGAAGGAGAAGAATATCTTCAAAATGAGTGGTCAATCAAGGGAGAAATAATTCTGGGAATAATTATAAGAACTGTAATGTTTTCATTACTACCTGTTCCGCTTTGTTTATGTAAAAATAAAATATTACACGGCCATCACTAAAACCTTTTATATACATAATATAGGATGTGATTTGGACAAGCTGAAAAAAATTACGGGCAAATTGTCTTTTTGAACAATTGAAAAGAAACAGATTAAATAAGAACATTTTTGAAAAAGTGTTAGTGCTTATGGAGTACTTAATAAAAAGAATCTGTGGAGCAGGATTCAGAACAAATAATTAAATAAACTGTTGTAGGTAATTTAGTAATCTTTCTAATTATCATTCCTTCATGACTTAGTAATCTTTTCCTTCATGACTTTTTTGCCAGATATTTCGGGAGGATAAGACTATTTTTGGCATGTGAAGGAGAAGAATATCTTCAAAATGAGTGGTCAATCATTTGATGAAGAATTGACGAACTTACGGCTTAATAGCAAATAAAAAAAAATACCTTTTAGAAATAATATATAGGATTGTTGAAGATTGTTACCTACCTCAAGGCAAACTTGAAGGGCGAATGGTGGAGGAGCCTGATGGTGACTGTGAGGGTGGTGCTCTCAGAGTAGTAGAGGGCCGGCTCGGCGGCCTCACCGCACCACCCCCCCTCCGAGAAGGGGCGCCCCAGCTCCGCCACCGACATGTAGCCGTCCTGGCAGTCCCCGTCCAGCCGCCCCACCGCGAACTTGTCCAGCATCAGCTAGCGGCAAGTGTTTATCAATGAACCCATTAATTAGTTACAAAAACAATTAAATATTAATAAATATTGGAGGTTGATGTAAAGGTACTATTTCGCTGGCGCGGTCCACGACCGCGACTGCTCGCGTTTGACCACTGCTTTAGTGGAATAGAAAGGAACCTATTTCGCTGGCGCTGCTCGGCAGTCTAGGTATGACGTCATATTTAAGCTGCTCCTATCTGACGAAGCAGTGGAGCTGTTGGCGGCTCGGCGGTTGTAGGTTATGTTATCATATCAGAGCATTGTTTTGATGATAACAGTCACGTCGATACGTTTTTTTTCAAATGTTTCTTTCAAGTCTGGCAAAATTATAACAAATATTCTTTAAAACTGAAACAATGCAATAGTAAATTATGTTTTTTAAGGTTGAAGTAACAAGATTATTTATTTATTTATTCCACCAGCAATATTTTACAACGAAATACAAATATACCTAAATCCAAAGGATATTAAATAAATTAAAGAATCCAACAAATTTTATCGTCAGGTAAATACTAAAATCCACCCATTGAAATATCGTTTTGTATTTTTAAATTAAAGTGGTGATTTACTGATTACTATTGATAAAACTATAAAACATCGCCTGCTGGGATTTAATTATAAATATATGATATTTATTATTAATCAATAATGTATTAATTACTATTACTTTTCAAACTAATAATATCTAATATCAGAGGGACTTTGATGATGACCATCACACCGAAATACTGATATTCCTTCTCTTTATGAACAACATTTTCTCTTCTTTTTTCAATTCAAATAAAAAAGCGGTAGTCAGAGATGTTCATTATTATAGGATGTACATTTTTATTATTATATTATGTCCATCTTTTTATCTTGGAAGATACAGCGAAATGTTCGAAGGTTATAGGCAGGTTATAACAACCTCAGGGAGCAGTTTCAGCGAAATAGCTACGCCTACAGCGGTTGGCAGCGTGGAATAGCGGTCGCTGTCGTGGACCGCGCCAGCGAAATAGTACCTTAAGGTACACTTTTGGTGGGTATCGGATCACGCTGGTATCTGAGGAAAACTAAAGAAGGAGTTGTAGTAAAAAGAAGCTTTAAGGAAAGAAATGATAACATATGTAAAAAAAAAGAAAAAAAAACTTTGAACTCACGATAGAAGTGAGTGATAACATCAGGGCAGGTTAATAATATGAATTTGTTTTTGTACTATATTCACAATATAATAACATTAATAATATATACAATTATAATTGTGTATAAATTACTCTTATAAACTTTTACTATAGTTGTTGGAAACAGTAGAAATGATCAAGGAGGCTGCAGCGCGATAATAATATCTAGTTAATGTGTTCATATTAATCACATTAATATTAATCACATATGTTCCAATAAAAACATATGATATAATTGAATAAAAGTTTTGTTATTACAAACAGTTGAGTTGTGCTTGGGCTTATAAAAATAATAATGTTAATATAAGAATATCAGTGCATTTTATTTATTAGCTATTTATTATGACGTTTCGACAATACTAAGGGCCATTTTCAAGTCTTACTGAGACCTCCATTAGATATTCATGATTTATGTCGCATCAAATTGTTCAGTGAAAAATTAATGCGACATTAATAATGAATATCTAAGGGAGGACTCATTAAGACTTGAAAATGGCCCTTGGTATGGTCGAAGCGTCATAATAAATAGCTTATAAATAAAAGTTTGGTGAATAATGGCCTAATTTATGTAAAAAAATAAAACCTCAGGACACCAATTTTAGGAATAATGAACAGAAGAAATATTATTGCTGTGTATTGGCTTTGTTCTTTTATTTTATGCGTGCGAGTAACAATAGTACTCTAATAAACTTTGCTTTGCCTGATCGTCATTTGTATCATAATATAGAGATGATACAATAGGTTTATGATAACTAAAATTTGTTATGAATACTTTTGATTGAAATCTATTTGTTACCATAACGTACCTGCAGGAGAAATACAGAGAGAAATTTGATGAAAGAGATTACTCGGTTCTGGGACTGTAGTTCCGTCGTAGAGGAGCCATTCCACCTTCAACTGCTTTGTTTTTGGAGAATATGGGTGTGAAAAGAAGCGATATGCAGAAAATGGCGTAATCAATAATTTTGGACTCGTTGGAAATTCTGTACTATCACTTATATTGATTCTGGGCAATTCGTTATCAGCTCTACGGACAGTTGTGGGAAGGAAAAAAATTGAGTGAAGCAATTAGAAAATAAATGATAGTATTCGGTACTTTGGATGATAGTTCTGCAAACCTCTATCCATTATGTCTTCTCTCATTAAACATTGTCGATTTCGACTGATGAATATGCTGGGCGTTGTAGCATCTCAACACAGTTGAGCAGCTGTACAGTTTTATTGTACTTTTCTCTCTTACAAAAACTCCATTTTTTTTTTATAATAGCTCATTACAAAGAAGATGAAATGCTGAACATTTTCCTCGCTTATAGAATGTAGGTTTAAGGAAGGAGATCTCTCATCCAACGATTTAATTTTTGTATTTTAATATTTTGGACATATTAATGTTTTGTACTTTTGTAAAGTTGTTTATAATTTTCATATTGTATGATATTGCAATTAATATTTTGTAAAGGCGATAATAACCAATGAAAAAATAAACGATCATCTGTACCAGCACAATCCATAGAGGGCCTTCGGAAGATGTTTTTCAAAGAGATGATTTGGCCGAGATCGTGCTCAATCACCAGCTTTTTCATCTAATTAAGACTATCCACTTTAGCACACTTCTTGTTGCCATCAATCTTTTTATGATTTTTTAAACAGATGGTTTCTTTTATCAATAAAATACTTATATAAATTATATTGTTTTTACCTGTATTATATCACCATATTCGTTCCCATTGGCAGTGAATGTGATATGGCAGAGGAATGGAAGCCTGTCCTGGCGTGGTGGCTTCAAACTCATTGAATATGTGCGTCCACTTTCTCCGTAGTATGTTCGGTTGCACACTGTGACGACATCATGTTTTAATTAATTAATATGTCTTTGTTTTAGTATAAAGAGGATATTAGTAAAATAAAAAATAATGAGCTTGTTCTATCAACACTATAGGTGCTAGCAAAGTCATTATAAATTGATTTTTAAACATATTTTGATGACTTACCGGTGCAGTACTTGGGTTCATCGGACCCGTCTTCGCAGTCATTGATGCCGTTGCAATAGAGGTCCGAGGGTACACACTTTCCGTTCCTGCACATGAGCTCAGATATTCTGCAGCCCGCCACCATGCTAGCCAGGAGGATAACCACCAACATACCTGTCGATAGCTCAACCATTATTCTCAATAACAATAAGTTGTATAAAAAAATAAAGAAAGGAATATACTATCTATTAGACATAGCCCGAGATTAGCAGAGAAGGAGACGACTGGTTCAGGAGGCAATAGATCTAATGCGACATCTAATATATTTAATTAACCTGTACCACTAACAAACCATGAAGGGTCTTGGGTTCAGTACAACGTGAAGAAGTACTGCTACAACGGTTGTTCAGGGAGGTGACGGGCCAATATCACGCTCAACCGTCAGGTTTTTTCCCTTAATCAATTATATTTAATTAAGGTTAGAAACTTTATAGAGGCTGGGTTTGCCCCAACTGATGAAAAATTACTAGTCATCAGTCGGGATTCGAATCTGGGACCTTGAGATCTGCAAGTCAGTGCTCACCCACTCAGCTACCCGGCTCCCTAAAATATATATGCCAACAGTATATATGTATATTAGGGAGACGGACTTATTCTCATTTTACATGATATTACTCCACAAATTATACATTATACTGTTCATTTAATGTATTCTGTAGTTCAGATTGTATTATTTTTTATCAACATAAAATAAACGGAACGAAACCACAATTCGGACAAATATTTAATTTCTTTAGAAATCTATATTATACATCGGACCTCATTGACAATCTATATCATTAAATAATTATAATTATTTTTATTACCAATTTTTAACAATAATAAGGGAGAAATAAACCTGGGAATAATTATAAGCACTGTAATGTTTTCATTAAGGCCTGTTTCGCTTTCTTTATGTAAAAATAAAATATTACACGGCCATCACTAAAAACGTTGTATACACATAATATATGATGTTCTTGGGACACGCTGAAAAATATTTTACAGAAACAGATTAAATAAGAACATTTTTGATGAAGTGCTAGTTCTTCACGATGCTAGTAATGAAATAGCAAAACTGAGAATAAATAGTGAAAAATGTTTGGATGAAGTTAAATTCCGGAAGTGGGATAACCAAATGAGGTGGTCTATGAAGTGGAAAGGAGTGCGAGAAAGAATTGGTCGAAGAAGAGAAAGGCACATCACTTCACGAGGATGAGGAAGAAGAAATGAATTTGTGTAGCAGGGTTCAGAATAAATAATTAAATAAAGTGTTATGGAAAAGGCATTTATTATGAAATAACTGCAATTCAACTAATTTATCATCTTTGTTATTATAACGCTGTGTATTTCGGAATAAAAAAAAGTCTAGTACCAAGCACCAAGTAAGGTCAATATTCTACTCCTTCTTTATTCCTATTGGTTACATATATTATTATATATTTACTCATATATATAATATATGTAACATTACATATTTCAAGATCTACGACAAAATATACGAAAGATTATCCCTGTTTTCGTAGTATAGTTTCGAAAGTAGGAGATGCAATTTGATGAAATATACATTGAACCATCTAGATATCACCATCTAGATATCAAGTGTACAATTTTCATAGATCCTGTGACAAAAACAATACATTGTACTGATATTCCACTGAAGGATGAAATGAACACATATTAAAATTAAAAGAAATACATTAGACAAGCAATTAAAAATACTACTCACTTTATTCCTAATCAACATTTCAAATTACACAAAAAATAAATACATAAACATACCTACTTACACCCATTCAAAGCCTCAATGTTTTATTGTTCAGCTAAAACGACGAACTTACAAAAACAACAATTTTTTCAATCCAAAATTTTAAGACTCATAACAGCAGCTACGTGCCACGTAAACAAAAAATCTTTACGTGCCAACTTATGACAACCAACTATTGATTAGCTCAAGTGTATTCTTTATTCCCCATTTGGTATTAAATTACACAGACACAAGAGACTTATTATCGACATAACCACGGGTGACAAGCCCATCTGAATAAAACCATAGGAAGATCTAATATAAATTAAAATCATAGACATATGAAAATCAGCAAAGCTTGAGCATCTTCTGATCTGCACTTAATCATCAAGAGGAATTTCTAGGAGTGTTAATTAATAATAATTAACGGTAACTGAATCAAAAACAATCAATGTAGAAAATTCTCCATTTCGGCCTGGTATGATTTAAAACCAGCAGAAAAGCTTAAATGTATATAATTATGAAATGGAAATTGTTTTTGTGAAGATCAGTATCATTAAATTCGAATGAGGAGCTTCCGTCCTTTTTTTTTCCCGAATATAAAATATTATTATTTAAATCAAAAATTCACATTGGTTTTCCTTTTGGCACATTCTTTACAATTACTGCATTTCAAAATTCTCTGGGGAAAAAAGATCCGAAATTATTCACAAGGAAAGCTTGAGATCCTGCATGACAACGCTCAACCTAAGACGTAACTTATTCACCAAATCCATCTTCAACAGGCTGCTATAGAATCAGCCGGAGCAAGTTAGACATCTGAAGAGTAATTCAACTGATTTTTATTAAAATTGCCCTAAAACAGGTTGTTTCTAAATACTTTTATAAATATATAACTCCATAACATTTCAGATATGAATTTATTTACTAAACAAAAGATTCTCTAGTTTCTTTTTCTTTAAATAAGAAATTAAGAAAAATGCACCGGTAATAGAACATAGGTACTTCAATAGAAATGTTCAACATTAATGTGGACCACGGTTTTAGTTCTGATATTTTATCGATTTTTTTTTCTATACATTCAATTAATTAGTTATTAATGTAAAACTGAGGAAATTTTGATAGCGTACATTACATCAGTGATTGACACTCAGGTTTGGTGGTCAATAGATTTTTTGTATAACCCCAAAAAAAAAATTCTGTATCACTACAACCCATGAACTGTCTTAGGTTCAGTAATTTCTAAGGAAGTAATGTTACAACGGTTGTCGAAGGAAATGATCGGGCCAGCACCACACTCAATCAACAGTTTTTCGTTCTTAATTAATTATTTTATTAGAAGTACTTAACTTTATTGAGGCTGGGTGTGCCCATAGGGGACAAAGTGGCAACTTGTTAAAAGATAATATGATACAAATAATTATGAGTTCGTGTCCGGGTATCGGGGAGGCTTTTAACTATGATATTCATTCTCCGCCCTCGCCCTTGGCTGTAGAAGTATAACCTAAAAGGCGAGGGTCCCAGGAGGGTCTCCCGACCATAGGGTGGATCCATGGTTATTAAAAATTACGTTTCATCGATCAGCCGGATTCAAACCCGGGACTTTAAGCTTGGAAGTCAGTGCCTTATCTATGAACTACCCCGCTCCCATATAATTAAAAAAACTCAAAATTCTGTACAGTTTTAAACTAATGAATGGCAAACTACAGATGAATGAATCCAAATTTCAAACTTATCTCCTAAAGAAAAGTAATGAGGAACCTCCCTGAAATAAACCCCTAGCCTTACTCCATTAAAAAATCAATTAACTTTTTTCTTCTTTTTTTTTTCAACTACCAATCGACTATCGCGGCAGCTCACTTGAGGTTCAGGTATCACCCTTCTAAGTGTTTTATTGGAAAATCTGCTCATGTTTGCACTTTCTTTAAGACGTGTCAAGCTTATCTATTAGCGTGTTGAAAACTATCTATCACTAGTACAGTGCATATTACTGGTACATTGTTTACCTTAGTAATGTAAAGTAAAATAATTGTTCTAATATTCGTTGTACTTTTATAATTACTTTGTAATTTTTATTTTAATAACTGATTTATTAACTTTCATTGGCTTTTACATTATAATAAATTCTATTGAAAAAATATATATATATTTCTTATTCTGAATAACGTTGGTTAAATAGAGTTTTTGTTTTTTTCTATGAAATGTGTAGGTACATAAAAAAGAAAATAATATAAGTGAAAAGAATTAGACAGCTTTCCTGTCAAATAAAAATTACATTCATGACATAAATTTAATTCAGAGGTATGAAAAGTAATTAATATTTGAGATTTTTCAATACAATAAATCACTGACGTATTTTATATAAATGTCTGTCATCTAAATAATTCAATTTAAACAATTAATCTGTAATCAAAATTAGTATTGCCTTTACGTATAACTGTGTACTTGTCACCTTTGATACGTTCCATGTTTATTCATAAGCTGTCCTCTGTGTTAGGAACCACTTAATCGAAAGCGCATATGGATCATGTAATACATAACGCCAACTAAGGAACTGAGGCATGTACATTACAAGGACACTACTGGTACCTTCTAATTATTAATTGTAATTTGTTGTACTTGACGGCATGTACCTCATGATATTCCCCCCATGAAACAACCTCTAGAGTACATAACGAAGAACCTTTTTTAAAAAAATTGGTTAAGAAACAAATTTATTATTTGCATAACTCATTATAAAACACAAAGTATTCTAAGAAAATCTTTTATAATAAAATAACGTGCAAGAAAAATATGAAGGATAAAAAATAAAAAGAATACATAATCCTCATTTGTTTCTACGCACTCCTCGCTCCCCTAAGCCTCCAAAACTTTTTTTATCAAGGTGTATTTACTCGACTGAGAAAACGAGTTATTGACATAACAAGTTAAATATATGCTGTAAAAATTATCAATATCTATATATGCAACCAAAAGCAGTTTATATAATAAAGTTTATATATATATATATATATATATATATATATATATAAGTAAAGGAGGAATTGATAGCGTCTATAACGAAAATCGAAACAATTACATTATTTGACTTCAGTACATCCTATATTTCGGTTCGAGGCACGGAATCAAAAGCGGCTTGTAGGTATAAAATAGTTAGCTATACATTTTCATCCCGAGCACAATTTCCTTCTCAACAATTTTTTTCCCATAGCCCTTTATTTATTTATTTTTTATATATTCTATGGTCTAAGTATTCTTTCTCCTTCTACTGCATATTTTGCATTTTAAGGAGATTTATGTTCCCATGATAATTTTTTGTCTATTTATATTCTTTCTAATTTCTAATAAAGCGACGGGGCTCAACCTTCTTTTTGTTTTGAACTTGAACTAAAATGAATGATAAATTA